TTTATATTCCCTTCCCTTTTCTACGCCACTAAGACCACCTTCAGTGGTGATTTATTAGAATTCCAAAAAAATGGCCACATTCACTTTTAGTAGGGTTCCAGAATTCCAAACGGTCCTCTTAATGCAATTATTGGTTCCAAAAATGGAACACAAGTGGACAAAAGTTCCAAATAACGGGGACCAACAGGGGATACGGGAAAAATGCATTGGGGGGAATGGATTCTGCCATTTTTCCACCTGTTGGAGAATTAGAAAAAGAAAAATTTACTCATTTAGTACCAATATTCACCCCCAACGGTTCTTTGAACCCAAACGGCTTTTTTTCAAAATTTTCTTATAAATAGTTAAATACACTTCAACACGTCATATTTACATATAATATTTTTTGTCGGAATTCAAAAAAAAAAATTGTCGACATGTTCGTCTTTATTAATTATTACTACCTATATAAAAATAATGAACGAATTTTGTAATTAAAATGATGAAATATACACAAAACTGGATTATGAGTTAAAATGCATATCTGGAAATGTAAACATTTGGAACTCATTACTAATGCCAAAACACCTTTTGATGGGCTACATTTTGAATTATAGCCCCAAAATCTGAACTTTTGGATTCAACCACTAAAGATGGTCTAAGGCAGAAAGTACCAATCAATATAAAAAACTCTTTTCATTCTAGTTATACCACTATTGTCGTAGACTCGTAGTTGCTTCCTTCAGGGTTCAGGGTTTAGGGTTCAGGGTTTAGGGTTCAGGGTTCAGGGTTTAGGGTTCAGGGTTTAGGGTTCAGAGTTCAGGGCTTAGGGTTTAGGGTTTAGGGTTCAGGGTTCAGGGCTTAGGGTTTAAGTTTTGGAGTATGGTGCTTAACCCGTTAATTTCTGGCTTCTTGTATATTTATACATACGATTAGATTGATTCAATACTTACACCCTTATTTTTGTATTTTGACAGCAATGCCCACCGTCCTTACGCCATCTACAGAATATATAATAGTGGAGTTTTATAAGTTTTTCAGTATTCAAATTTTCCTGCTCTCTCCTTAATTTTCGGTAGGGGTATATTAGAAAATATAGTGGGTCTTTAAAATTGTTTTCGCGGGCATTAAGCTGGAATTTTGGGCTTATTAATCCTGCCAAAGTTCGGCCCGCCTAATGTCCGGACTGGGAAAAAAATGTCTGGATTTGCGGACTCGTTTTACAGTTAACTTTTTTTTTTTTTTTGATGAATTCTTTTTACAGTTAACGATGTAACTGTTTTTTTTTAAGCTTTTATTTCAGTTCATTTTTTTGTGAGAATTTCAGTTCATCTTTTATTCTCACTTGCAATTTACAACACATTCTTTTTTAAGCATTTTTATTTGTGGGTTTTTTCGTTGGTTTAATCCTCTCTATTCTCAGTTGGTATTTATAAAATTTCGTATGTTTTCATTCATCCAATAATCAAAATTTCACTACAAGCTAAGCTACACACATATTCAAATAAACAACGACATTGTAAACAAACTAAAAAAACCTTATATTTAAATACGTCAACATCCAATCATTTATTTTTAAATTAAAAAAATAACATCAAAATTCATATTAAATCTAATTCATCATCATAAACAAAATGATAAATTATCATATTTAAATACACAAAAAATTAAATAAATTTATCAAAACGACGTCATTTTGTTTAGAAGCCGGAAATTGTCGTCCGCGCGACCACATGTGTTGACCGATAATGACTTCCACTTCATAATGGGGTAGGTTTATGTCTAATATTAACTTTACCGACCAACATATCACCGGTTTGACAACCATCGTGTTAGTTGTAGACTTTTTGGATGTGTCTTTTATTTGAAGGAATGATATTTAACGATTTGGAGATTAACATGAAGTTAAGATTTAAAGTGAAGGAGCTAACATTTTTATTTTATTTTATGATTCTCTAAATGCTTAGTGACTTAAAATTATGAAATGATGAAGTATTTGAAATAAAGGAAAAGAACACTCGAGTTTTGTATCTAAAAGATTAAAACACAATCACCTAGATTATGGGCTAGGTGCATAGTTTTTATAAACAACTAGGTAGATTTTGTGTCGCCCTGTGCTGCGACTTCTCATAGGATTAGAAGTATTGTTTGCTAACCCGTATTTGATTTTTGATTATGTTATTATCAGCAGTATAATAGAAAATTTTCTAATGGAATTTAAATCGTTAGATGATTTTAGCTGTATGTAATGATTTAACCACGGTTGAACTACCATTGTACCGTACTGGTGGTCCAATAAAAAAACTCATAATAGAATCTAAATCGATAAGTGATTTTTGTTGTATAAAATTATTTAACCATGCCTGGACTATGATTTTAGTTATATACGAAATTAATTTCATATTTTAATATTGAAACTATGATAATTGTTATTTGTGGTGAATTGAAAAGAAATAAGCCCGAAAGTTGCGGGGAAGCCAAGAGGCTGACGTGGATGAGGGGTTTTTGAGAAACCCCTTTATATATTTTATAGATAGATAGATAGATAGATAGATTTTTCATTACAAAAATGTGTAAAAAAAAGTGTACATAATGGTAGCGGCAAAATGCAACGTAAAAAGAAAATTCAAAATTGTTAAAATTTGGCTTTTACCTTCTCAGAATAGCGCTTTTTTTTCCGCCAAAAATTTGCGTGTCTTTAGAATGAGTCCCCCATAAACGTTTCCTTCATTCTGACTCCCCATTCTCATTCTATCTTGCATGTCGTCAATCTGAGAGAGAGAGAGAGAGAGAGAGAGAGAGAGAGGCGATGGCGGTTCCGCGTTTCTGCCAACGAGTAGAGAGGAAGAGAGAGTTGACGATTCCAATCATTCCATCGACTGGCGACGGCGGTTCTGCGTTGCTGCCGACGAGTAGAGAGAGAGAGAGATAGAGAGAGAGAGTCGACGATTCCATCGATTGGAGACAGCTGGAAGATAAAGAGTTAGTGAAATCTCGCTTTTCCTTCTCCTTTTCCTTCCCCGAATTTTTGGTTTTCGTTTTCAGTTCTTTGATTTCCTCTTTGTTTGGCACGAGATGCATACAAAACAAATATGGATTGGTAAGAGCGGCAGCTATGGTCTCATTCCCTCAGATTAAAAAGGCCCCCTAAGGAACGATTGCAGGTAGTTGCTATGCAAGTTTTCATTTCGTTTATTTGAGTTCCTATAAAATCAGGACATGACTGGACACTCCCCAATTACCGAGTCCAAACTTTGGGTTTCTGAACTCGTTTCTTTTATTTCGTTTTGTTTTCATGTTGATTTGAGGCTTGAGAATCGGAGGAGGAGAAGGAACTTGAAGGAACTTGGAGGAGTTAAGGTGCTTCGAGAAGGCCATGAATGGGAGCATCACAAGCAGGGTACTGGGCATCGAAAACAGGTATCTAAGCCTCGAGTGTTTGTTGACAGATCTGGCGTTTGTTGATAGATGGGTTCTAAACAGAACATAAAAATAATCTAAATAGAACATAAAAGTCATTTAAATAGATCAGAGCTACTTCGTTCAGTTCTCGCGGCAGATTTTTTTCCGAGTTCAATTTAACTGCAACTTTTTCCGAGTTCAATTGAAATTGTCGACCCTGTTTCTTGCATGGTTGTTTAAAGTTATAGACATGGAACTTATATTACACTTCCCTTTATGTTCCTTGATCTACACAAGTATCCTTAGTAGGATTTCGACTTTGTGTGCTTATGTCATGATCTCTATTCCCGTCTTGCAGACGTGGCGATTGTAACCTCATTGCGAGATAGAATGAATCTCGTTACTTATGAGTTTGTAGCATGCCAATATTCAAAGAGAGGTGTTCTTATTCTCAGCGAGGTACTTAGATATTAGTCAGCCGATTTCAATTCATTCTCATACAACTCAAATTATATTTTAGAATGCGTTGATTCTCTATGATGAGTTCACGAATTCTATTTTGACCGAAGATCATACTTCAGAAAGTATGTGTTCCTCCTTTGACAAGCAATTACTGTATCGATAATCGCATACGTGAGATTCTGACTCTGACCATCTTAAATTGCTGTATTTTTTTCTGGACAGTGAGCTCAATGATACAGTGGTTGAGGCACAACTAAGGATGAGGCAAGTCCCACCTGAGCTTCCACAGGGAGATGCGATTGAATGTTATCTCAACTCCCACAATCGATTGCTCATACTGGTATGCTTTCAACCCTTAAGCCATTGTCTTTGTGCCCCAGTTTGTCCATTTCAAAAACATCGCCTCGAGAAAAGGACTAGAATTGTTTCTAAAATACTTATAGAACTGAACATATCCTAGATTGAAGAATGCACCATTTTTCTTTCGTGGGACCGACTTCTCTGGAGTGCATTTTCAAATGCTTACAACCATAGTGTATTTTTTTTAATGAAAACTACCATCGTGTATTTGAGTTTACAGTGCCTAATACACTCAAACAAATCAAAAGTGTCAACGAAAAATGATATATTTGTTCAATTCTATTGATAGTATATCTCTTCGTAATGCAGTTGAGGCCTCAAGGTAATCTGAAGTGGACAAATTGAAAAGCACTTCAGACTGGAGGTAAATTACGCATTTCCAATGTCACTGTTACAAATTTAGGCGGCTATACTGGTTAGACGCATGAATGGGTTTCCATATATTTGGCTTCAACATCCGATTCAAAGATCTACCTGTTCTTATGCTGACAGTTTATGGAGGAGCAACCCGTGAGGCATTAGCTAGCCAGGTCTGTTTCACACAAAAGAAAAAGAAAAAAAACAAAACAAAGAAGAAAATCCAGGTATGTCCTTTCAATTGCAAACAGTTCATGTCCCGCAATGTACCCTACGTCCAACAAAAATATGAAAGTGTCGATGGAGTTTACTTTTGTGAAATATACCAAGATAAAAGATTTTGTCCCCTAAAATCAATAATGAAATTGTAAACTCAATAAAAAGTGGTCATTGCTTTCCATGGGCGTTTCAACTTCTTGCTATGGAAGTGCTAGTGAACTTCATTTGTTTTTCTTGATGCTTCTGTTCTTTGCACCACGGGTTCTAGTCTGATGTTGTTTCTGTAGCAGACCAAAATAAGATAAAATAATATTAAAGATGTAACTTCCAACACAAAGAACCATCTAATCTTGCTGGTTAAATCATTAGTGTGATTGGAAAAGTACCAGTTCATGTTCATCGCCTGGACGATCATCATGCCGACTAGTACTCCCAGCACTATGTCCTGTATGCTTCTTAGCTCCCTTCTCTTGTTGACTAGTTTTGCTCCTAGTACGTGCCCTGATCTGTTAGAGGGCAAATAATCTCTTAAGCTAATAGCCATTTCTAACAAATCGATAAGTTAGTGAATAAACAAATGATATATAACCTTCTGTTGTGGCTGACTTTTCCCTATGGGCTCTCCAGTAGTATTATGCCTGCTCGTTCGTTGCTTCTGGTAAAAACAAAATAACATTTGTAGTTTATTAACTCTAATAACTATATCAAGAACACTTAACCAGAGATGCTAATTACCTTTTGGGGCTGACCACCTTGGTCATCATCTCCATCATCATCGTCCCCATCATCGTCCCCATCATCGTCCATGTCATCGTCGTCATCCTCCTCATCAGATTGAGATTCTACCACGTTGGCTGGGGGGTTAGTACAAGTGCTCCTATAATGCCCATCCCTTAGCCCACAGTTCCCACACTTTCTTCTTTTTTTCTTAAGTGGTTTTTTCCCTTTTCCTTTCCTACAACCCTTAAACCTCACTTGATTTGGGTTCAATACATCTTTGAACTTGTCTGGTATGACAATCCTTTCTCTCTCGGCGGGGGTTTTCTTTACCATCTCCAACTTGTTACACGCTGCTGTCAACTCATCTTGAGCCATTCGATAAGAGAGAGGAGTGTCTGCTCCTAATAAGCAGAATCGTTGAGCCATGAACTGTAGCGACCCGTACCTAATGCTAAAACTGCTGTCATCCCCCAATGTACTTGGTTCTGGCAGAGTGTGTAGGGACTTTGGGTTCTTCGAGCAACGTCTGAGTACCAGTTTTTCAGGAATGGTCTTCACTTTTTCTTCTTTGAGAACAAATAGCATATGAACGCAGGGTATCCCAATACTCTTAAACTTTTGACAACTGCATTCCATATCACTTGTTTCAATGTTGTATTTCACCTGTATGACCTTCTCTTTGTTGAACATGGTAACAGTGTAAGTGTGTAGGTTCCCCTCTTCAGTTTGGTTACCCTTAATGACTCCAATAACCTCCTCCAACTCATTTTTGAACAAAAGAAATGCAGCCTTTGAGAAAAGCTTTGTTGCACTTTGCTCGAGGGGCTTTAGGATTGAATTCTTTATAGGAACTACACCATAATTAGACTCAAAATCTAATCTAATCTCTGTCTCTCTCGTGTCTCTGAGCCACCGGTCGTATCGAGTGAAAAAGTCAAGCAAACAGAACCTCTCATTTTCATACCTTGCAACAACTGCATTTATGCTTTCACATCTTGATGTGGTTGTCAACCCAGCAAAGAAATGTGAGCGCAAGTATGTGTCCGCCCATTCGTTGCGTCTCCCAAATAGTTTTTTCGACACCCATTGGTTGTTCTGGAGTTCGGATTCCTCTACCAATGCATTCCATTTCTCCTCAAATTCTTCTGGCTCGTACTCAGCAGTTACTAACTTCTTCCACCGGGGTTCAAAGTCGGGTAGATTCTTCACCCTGCCAGTGATATTCTTGGACAAATGCCATGCACATAGCCGATGTGTTGCATTTGGAAACACATTAGCAATAGCTTTCCTCATTGCTTTATCCCCATCCGTTACAACTGTACGTAGCGAAATGTCCCCCAACATTTCCTTCACTATCTTCAACGCCCAAATATAGGTTTCGTCAGTCTCATTGGGCAACAGTGCACTCCTGAATAAGCAAGTTTTGAAGTGATGGTTGATACCTACAATGTCAAACAGAAACTCGGAAAAATCAGAATCTTTTGAACTAGCAGGAGAAAAGCTAAAACTGTGAGGAAAATGTAAACAATGGTAGAGTTCATATAATCAGAAACTTGCTGTTTTCTAGATGCCATTATGTGTATTCAAACAACAAAGCAAAGGATAATACTTAGAGGGCATACTAGGATGGCGTACCTGTAAAAATGACCAGTGGCATATTGTAAATGTTTTTTTGGTACGTTGTGTCAAATGCGAGCAACTCTCCAAAACACGAAATGTCGGCTCTGCAAATGCTGTCAGCCCAAAATAAAAAATGGAGCCTTTTTTCCTCATAAGTAGTGTATCGGAGGAGGAAGTGTGGGTCTGTGCTTTTCTTTGATTCTAGATAGGCCAGTGCAGTTGCTGCATCACCCTCGCTGATTCTCTCAGCGCGGTCTTTGGTGCTGAAATTTAACCCATCTTTAACTGTATACCCAAGTTTGTCATGCCCTCCAGCACAATGCACAACAAGCTTAATGGCCTGAGAAGGTTTCATTCCGGCATCCTTTTTAAATCGGAGGTCTGCCTTGTCTGCTTCTGTTAATCCTCGATGCGACCTCAAGTAATGTACCTGATTCTGCCTAACTGGGTCATGAGTGTGCTGTGAGTTAAATATATCAGCCACCCACTTATTGCTTGTTTTGTTCAAGCTCACACGAAACATAGCCATGCACTGAAATCTGATCTCCATAGGCGAGTCCCTCTTTTGTGGACCTTTATGTGCTTCTCGAACTCCCTGACAAGAACACACGAAGGCTGCACTTGTTAGCTCTCCCTTGACGTTCTTAACCTTCCTTGAGCGACGGACAGAAAACCCCCAACTCTTAGCATAGTTGTTGTAGAACGCATATGCATCCTCAAAATGATTGAATTCCTGACCGATAAAAGGAGAATTTTGAGTAACGTTTGTGTCATCCTCCTCTACAGTAGGACCATCGCTGTCAGAGGTCATTGTTTCTGGTATGATTTCAACATCGCTGTCTTCATTGTTGTTGATATTATCTCCCTCTTCCTCCATTGGTGTGCCGTCTTTTTGCTGTTTGTGGGGAGGGGCTGAATCGGGCGCAAAGCAGAGGTCTTTTTGCTGTTGTTGTTAACCTAATCCGTCTTTCACGTGTTATTAGTTTTTTCTATTTTTTTCCTTCATGGTGTACAGTTTATTTTTATATTTTAGTACATTAAATTTTTATTATATTGTTTCCCGTTATGGTTACTAGTTGGATAAAGAATGCAACTAATAAAGAATGCTTGAATTACCGAAAAAAAATACTAAAGAATGCTTGCGTGTTATATATGGTAGATTCAACTTCCAAATAGGTGATGCGGATTGTTTCCATGTTAATTATTACCCGTAAAAATATTATTTTCCTTTTCCATGTGGAGGTTAATGAGGAAGATAAAGTTTCCAGTATCCTTATAGAGAAAAACACTCACCCGTTGGCCCTAGTTTAAGAATGCTAACTCCTTTTCTGCATTCACCAGGAGCTCATTCAGGACAGGAGCTCGGTCAGGGGGGCAGAAACTAGGAGCAATATGCAAAACGATAAGGACGGGAGGATGATGACAAAATGCAAGACCAGAAGTTCTTCCAAATTAATGGTTCGTCAATTTGCATTCTTGTTTTCCCGTTCTCTCCATCGTTGGCAGATTATGCTTCCAAACTAAATAAGGCATTGTGTTTTTATTACGATGAATTCTGATGCTGGAGAAGGATGAATCTCGAGGAAAGAAAGGTAGAACTGAAGATGGTGTGATCCAGATTGATGGTGATTTGCAGGCAGATTGGAATGACTTAGTTTCGAAAGGCCGTACCAGATTTTCTTACTTACAATTCGACAAGAAGGTATGATAATCTAGCCCACCAATTTTCCCCACTTAGAACAAAATCAATTGTTTTTATCCTTATGTTTCGTCTTCTATTGTAGGGTGAAACAAAGTTTACACTTCCAACAGTTCTCAAGTACACTAGAGAGGAAGTGAACCTTGCCCACTACATATTTGCGAAGGATCTTCCACAAAAGGAAGTCCTGGTTGAAACCATGATGCAATCCTATACACGAAAGGTGTTGTGGTCCCTCTGCCCTAAGTCTAATGTCGATGATGATGTAATTACAGCCATGGCTTGCCAATTGCGCCTGGAGGAAGTTTGGAGGAATGTTGGAGATGGAAGAGTAGTCTGTTATCTGCCTGCTGAACTACAAGTATAGTCCCATTTACTTTGTATATTTATTTTAGGTGCAATATTCCGTTTCTCCTATTAAATATGTTATCTTCTATTTTAAATGAACCATGATCAGGAAATGGTAATCAACTATGGCTTGACATAAAAAAAAGCTCTAGAGTGTTATGGTGCAAAGTTCTTGGCAAGAGCTCACACGTGCAGAAAGGTTTCTTCTTAACAATTCCTTTCTTGTTTCATTGAAATATTCCTCAATTACTGTTTCTAGCTACTGTTTGAATTGGATATGCGAATAAATTAGATGTTCCATCAAGCTTTTGATATTTCTATAAATTGTATTTTACAATGCTAAGCTGAGTTTGGTCTTTTTCGTCGTTATTTAGGTGTGTCTGCCCATGAAAGATGCAATGGACGGTGATGCAGTTCACTAGTATTTAGCTGTCATTATGCTGGACGACAAACAAGTCCATCTATTGGATTCGTATCCTTCTAAAATGCGCCAAAGATCTCGTAGAAACGCAGTAGTAACTATGGTATGGTTTGACCTCCTGATCCTAATACAGTTATATCTCTAAATTGATTTGTGTATTCATCTATCCCGAATAAAGTGATTACTGCTTGTGTATATCGAATTTCTTGATGACTTGTTTGAGGATCTTTACGGCAAGTGGAACCAACGCTTGATCCACCTGTGCTGGAACAATTTTCTTTGACGATTCCTTCAATTCCCGAACAACGTCACGAGTAAGAATTGTTCGTTGTGAACAAATTAGAAACATACTTAGATACCCACCACTCATATGATGCATCTTATTTTATGTAGGTCTGATAGTGGCGTTTGGGTGTGCTCATGGATGATGGGTGCATCTTGGGATGCTTCTTATAATCTATGGGTAAGCAAGAATTCTCCTACTTGGCCTAGAAGGAAAACAACCTTTCAAAACAGCTACTAAGCCTCATTGTCATTGTCAAACTGTTGCAGCCATGCGGAGATATAAGGAGAATGCAACTAGCTTTGTATCTGGTCCAACACCCTACAAATTACATAAGACATGTCGTCATCGAGGAAGCAAATAGTAATGCATCGAGATTTGTTGCCCAGACTCGTAGGTACAAGGAGGAAAGCCAAAAGAGCGTAATCCAGAACTAGAAGATTCATAGGGAGATGGTGGTTCATTTCTCCTGTAGTAGTATATTCTGGATATTTGGTTGATTAGTTCTCCTGCCAGTACTCTAGTTTTGTTTCCCTTTTCATTTTTGTTGAGAACCAAAACAATACCCTTGAATTGTTTGAATTGTCTGCTTGTCTCTTTCCCTTTTCATGTTCGTTGAGAACCAAAACAATACACTTGTTATTGGGTTAAAATTTTGTTATTGAAGCTATTTGTTGGATCCAACATGGTTATGTTTGCTCCGATGAACGCATAATCTTCGGCGTCCTCCGGTGGCAAGATATGAGATATCCAAAGGCCAAAGCCAAAGCCAAGAATTGGAGCGTTTTTTTGGCCGAAATAAAGATAACAAAAACCCCCACTGACCAGGAGAAAGGTCAATAGTTTCTTGACGCGAAAACTGGTTCAGGTTTTATGAGTTTATCCGGTGTGGACTTAAGAGGGAAGAAAGTTCCAAAATGATGGTCGAGAAGGAAGTAAAGGAAAAAAAAATTTGGGTGATGTGATTCGAACCCAGAACCTCATTTAACTACAGTAGCAATTTTCCGCTGGGAATGGGGGAGAAACGCGCGACTAGGGCATGTTTGGAGGTTGAGATTCTCCAAATAGATGTATTTGTTCAATTCGTGTATTATCATTTGATGTATTGATTCAATGCATGTATTAGAAAAATACTTTGTTTGGAGGGGCAATGATGAAACAAAAAGTAGGTACAATCCCTTGTTAACAATCTCACCTTTTGGTAGAGATTTAAAATCATTCATTTTGAATGATTATAGGTGGGCCCAACAAAAAGGTAATACATGCATTCTAACTTGATATGAAACAAAAAAACGACTTAATCTTATCATTACATGTATTTGCTAAATACCTCACTTCAAATCTCAACCTCCAAACAACCCCTAAATTTCCAGGAAACTAGATTTTGTTGTTTTGCTTTTGCAGGAGAAATGAACCACGTTTTTTTACTCATATTTCTTATTTTTTGTTGCGACAACAAAAAACATAAAATGAAATGGCAAGTGAATGGGGCATAAGGCTCAAGCCTAGGCGCCTTCTTTAAGCCTTATCTCAGCTGAACAAGCATCAGGAACAAAGCCACAAAAACGTGAACCAACATTCGGATTTAAGAAAAATGAAAGGTAAACACCAAAACCAATCTAAAATGAATTCAATTGGGATCAAAGTGATAGTAAAATCGACCGACTATCAATAAAAGTATAAAACCGACCGACTACCAATAAAACAAAAATAACTACTTTTCTAAAATGAATCAAATAAACTCTTTTGGCATTTTGAGCTGATTTTCCCCTTGAAATGTCTTTCATAAACGGCCCTTGCTTCATCAATAATTTGAGAGCGCCTTGTATTTGAGAGATCTTTGACTAAACTTATGGCCAAGGATAGTCGACCTCTATTACTACAAACCTGCAGCAAATGTATAACATTACTCTTAACATGTTGATTTCGATTTGATAGTGTAGAATCTCACGTGGATGGAATCATATTTAGAAGGAAAGGATTGTATTATACCGCCGTATACGAATTATTATCAGCCTCTCCGTGCAACATCCACTGACAGACGTAAAACCCACACTCATAGCTACGTAGAAAAATAGCATTTATTATTGAAAATAAGATTGTGAATCGAAATGAAATAATCAAAATACTCAAAGAAATACTAACTCATCAATTTGCTTAGAAACGTATGGAGGACTTATGATTTTGAACTTATGCACTTTGGGCACTTCATAGGTTGATGGCTTGTCTGGAAATTCTTGAAGCATCTTGTAAAAGAATTTCAACTGTAACAACAAACTTAACCACGTAACTATTACAGTACAAAAATTAAAAAAAAAAGAAAATTGACTTACTAAATTTACACGAAGGGAATAGTTGATCACCCACCATTCCTTGCACCCTTTTCCTACGATTTTCCAGCAAACCCAAATCAATACGCAAAGAGTCCACTACATGCACTACCTTTCGGTCCATGAAAACCACAATAAGAAACCAATGGCGGTTCTCATCATTCATTGGCAAATATATCTGAAATAAATAAAAAAGTAAATGATGACGAAAGAATGAATGGACTATACAGTAAAGGGCAAAACATTAAGAGAATATAGTACCCTGGAAAAATTACTAATATTATTACACCATACCTTGGTGCATTCAAAGGTGCGCAAAGATATAGGTTCTTATATTTTTCCACGGCTTTTTTTGGAGTCCAACCCATTTTCACAACCAAATCCTGGGTAGCAGTTCACATTCACTATTCAACTTTGGGAGAAAGAAAAAAGTAAACTTACTGCAAAGAGTTTTCCATAATTGTTGCTTACCTCAAAATTGGATGGAAGATACCAAGGTCCCTTTTTCCCCCAAGCCCTAACATCAACAGCTAATTGACAAGCTACAGCAGTCAAAATCTAAAATAAGCAAAACCCAAGATTAGTATAGCTAATATGTGGTCAAGTATGCCTTACCAAAACAGAACTACAAAATACTTACATAACCATGAAGCCACGTTTCTGGCAGCAAGTACTTCAGTTCTAGACGACTTAAGCTATGGCCAAAATTCTCAACAAACCATTTATCATCTTGTAGACCATCACCAAAGATGAAACACGCAATGGAATGATCCTCATCATTATCTAACGCCATTAT